GGAAGAAAAGTACTTTGTTATGTCTTATTTCAGATTCAAACTGCCTTTGGTGAAGGAAAAATATCTGTTTTAATTGTTTTCTTTTTTTAAGATTCGTTTTTACTTATGTGTATGGGTGTCCTTGGAGAGCAGAGAAGGTGTTGGATTCCCTGAAGCTGAAATCACAGATGTTGTGAGCCACCTAATGTGGGCGCTGGGAACTGAACTCAGGTCCTGTGGAAGAGCAGCTGACACTCTTAACCACTGAGATCTCTCCAGCCCCTGTTTTCTAAATTTTTTTAAAAAGTATTATTAGTGTATGGGGGAGGGCGAGAAGGCTCTGGAGAACCATGGTACACATGTGGAAGTCAGAGTACAGTGGGATCTCCTTTGGATCTGAAGCTCCAACTTAGGTCACCAGGCTTTCAAGGCAAATGCTTTTAACAGGCTGAGCCATCTCCTGGGCCCTAATGCTTTTCTTTTTTTTTTTTTAATTATTAAATAGTGTATTTTTCTTATACTGTGTTGAGGTTAAAAATAAGATAAGTGAACAACAAGAAAAAGTCCCAATCAGGTAACGAGAGGCAGTTCTGAGTGCCAGCCAACTTTGGGGAGATTACACAGGAGTTTTCAATCAAAGCATTTCACACTGCATGTCTCCTGTTTCTTTTTGGTGTTAATGGTTTATCCCTTCCTGCTCTTTCTCCTTAAACTGAACCAGCAACGGTGACAGGCAGGATGATTCTATTCTCCCTTTGTCTCCAAAATACCTTCCAGTCACCCCACCACCCCAACACCGTTCTGCATTGTGCTTGTGTTGTGTTGAGGGGGTGGGCTGGCCCCTTGTCCCAGAGTCTAGGGGAGCCATGTGATGAGAGAGTGGGCTGGCCCCTGTCCCAGAGTCTAGGGGAGCCAGGCATTCTGTTTCCACCTGTGGTACTTTACAGGCTCCTCATAGTTGCCTCTCAGCTTTCCCTACCCTAGCACGCATTGTTCCACCACTACCCAGATTCCCAGGTGCCTGAAGACCCTGCAATAGTGTTCATCTCAGACCTTGCTTTAGATGGCAAGTCCTATCCTTACCTCCTATCTCTTGCAGTAAGTCCCTGGTCCCATGGAATTGAATCTGAAGGGACTGTTTCAGTCAGATGTCTGTCTTCACAATTGGTTTTGTCTAACTACCCAAGAAAGATTTATAAGAAAGTCAAGGGTAAAAAAACCTATGGTCTCTGATTAGTTCCTTTTCATATTTATAACCAACCTTTTCTGTGGGCATAATAATTCTTTTTTCTTTTTATAAAAATTGAAATTAGATTTTTTTTTGTCATACAATATATTCTGGTCACGGCTTCCCCTCCCTCATGCCCTTAAAGATCCTCCCTCCCTCCACATCCCACCCATTCAATTCCATGCCTTCTTTCTTTCTCTCCTTAGAAAACAGGCTAATAGGATTATAAAGCCAGTGGGGACGGAAGACAGCAAGGAAACAATGCCTTCCAGACACAACAGGCGGGACAGGTAAAAGCCAGATCAAGTTCCAGCACTAAAAGGGGGAAGTGGACATGATTCCTAACCAAGAAGCTGTCTCTAATTGACAAATAAAAAATTGGGTATGCAAGCCTCACTCAAGGGCAGGCCCCGTATGCAGCAGTAGACAGCCAACTCAGTAGTAATTGGGGAGATTTTCTTTTTAATTTCATAAGTCTTTTTTGTTTGTTTTTGTTTTTGTTTGGGTTTTGTTGTTGTTGTTTTGTTTTTCAAGACAAGGTTTCTGTGTGTAGCCCTGGCTATTCTAGACCTCACTCTGTAGACCAGCCTGGCCTCAAACTCACAGAAATCCACCTGACTCTGCCTCCCAAGGGCTGGCACTAAAGAAATGTAAGACTGGCTTACCTCATAAATTTTTATCTAGGATTTTTTTTTTTTAACCTAACTGGTCTTTTGCTTATTTATTATGGTTTCTGATTTTGTGTTTTTATGAGTTTTCTGTGTGAGCATATGTCTCTGGGTGTGTATGTGCTTCTCTTGCCCCTTTGTTTCTTTTTTCTTTTTTCTTTTTGACACTGCTCAAGGACCTGAGACTAGATAGGCCACAGACCCAGGGGAACACCCAGTACTTCTCTTGTGCCAAAGAAATGTAGCAATGCAATGGCTCCTAATGACATTCTGCTGTACCCATAGATCAATGTCGTACTGCACCACCATCAGAGAAGCTGCCTCCCGCAGTTGATGGGAGCAAATACAGAGACCCTAAATGGTTGTCTCCATCACCTTAGGGCTCAGGGAGCTTTTCAGAAGAGGAGGCAGAAATATTGTAAGGGCATAGTAGTTTTTGAGAGTGGCTGATGCCACCTTGAACCGAGTAGCATATTTTGCTCTGTACACTTAATCTCTTCCCAACTGTGTCATTAGCAGAAAGAGTAGTAGACCATGACTGCCCAAAACCAGGAGTGGTGGTTGTAATCTCAGTGCTTGGCAGGTGAAGGCAAGTTGCTCCATAGTGGATTCCAAACCAGTCTAGGCTACATGAGACCTTGTTTCAACCATTTCTCCCAATAAAAAAATAAAAATAAAAAACCCAGAGTCAAATCGTTGTCCACTAAATGACTCTCAGGCATCGTTAGAGGCAAATTTCTATCCTACCATACCTTCAATGTGGCCTTTCCTTTTATTCAGCTAAAACTTAGAGAGAGCTGGGCACACTCAGAGGCAGCCTGACCACTGCTTTTTCTGACACAAGCTGCCATACACTAGAGTCCTCGACACCATTTGAACCTTTCAAACCAGGCTCTTTGACTTTGAGGTAGTCATGCCACCATCTTTCCTTCTTGAACTATGACCTTAAACTGAGCTTTCCTCAATGTAACTCCTGAGTAATGTGAGCAGCCTCAAGTGCTTTTCCTTCTGAGTATGTGCTGGCTCTCCAAACAACAGCCCCAGGCATCCTTTGAGAAGTTAATCGCTTTGGGAGAAGCTTTCAGTCTCTCGATGCTTGCTATAATATGTCTTTCTTCACTCTCATTTCTTGCCCATGCTGTTTTAACTTGGGACTCACCTAAATGGAAACCAACTATGTTCTGCTGCAAAATCCCTACCAGGCTGGAGAGATGGTCCAGCAGTTAAGAGCACTGACTGCTCTTGTGGAGGACCCAAGTTTGGTTTCCAGTACCCAAGTGGTAGCTCAAAACCACCTGTAATTCCAGTTCCAGGGGATCTGACTCCCTTTTTGTAGCCTCTTCAAACTTCTGCGCGCGCGCACGCGCGCGCGCGCACACACACACACACACACACACACACACACACACACACACACACACATCACACAAACTCATGCAGGCACATGCACTTAAAAAAAAATAGCTGCTACTATGTGCTAGGATGGGCACAAAGAGCTGACTTTGAAGATATTTGGAGTTGAAATGTTTTAAGAGCGAAGTCTCAGCAAACCTTCTGAAATCCCTTCTCTTTAAGTACGACTAATTGACCTTCCATCCCAAACTACTTTACAAGTCTCCTCCTTCCTCCCACCATTTTCCAAGAGGACTCAGGCAGTCTTGATTGGTACCATACTCTGAGTGACTGACATGGCATGGGAGGAGAGGCAGCCTTCCTAATAACATTTCCTAGTTGCCATTTATAAAGCAAAGCAAACAAATCCATGGGCCACGCCCTGCATGTTAGTTACAGCTTAGACTGTGGCCAAGCAAGGCTGTACTCAAATCCAGGCTTTCCTGCTGGCCAGGACTTGTTACCTTGGGCAAGGGTTAGGCCTTTCCTGTTGGTAGAATATTCCTTGCCACCAGCCAGCTCCAAAACAACCACATGGAGACTTCTTAATAATTATAAATGCTTGGCAAGTAGCTTATGCTTGTTACTAACTAGCTCTTACAACTTAACCCATTTTTCTCAATCTACACGTTGCCACATAACTCATGACATTTACCTGTCTTCTTGTATGTCTTTCTCTCTCTCCATCTGGCTGGTGACTCATCTTTCTTCTTCCCAGAATTCTCTCTGTCTGGCTTTCCTGCCTAGCTATTGGCCATTGATCTCTTAAATTAAACCAATGAGAGCAGCACATCTTCACAGTGTATGAAAAGACTTTTCCATAATACTTTCCTTACAGTGTTAAGTTCATTTCCTAACCTATGGCTAACAATAGTGCTTACCATTGTTTACTATGGAGATTAGTGCAAGCATGTAGTAGAAAGTCAAAGAGAAAACTTCTCCAATGGCACTGTCCAAAGAGGCTAGTTTCTCAGGCTCCTGGGACCCAATTGGGCCTTTCTGATTGAGTGCTAGAATTCTTGATTTCAAGCATTTCCCTCACTTGGCATCCTCTGTCACATCCCTTGTCACCTGCTGACCACATCAGGAGAGCATGCTCCAATAGGACCTAGGCAGAAGTGCTTGCTCTTGGAATGACACATACCTTCCCAACATGGGCAGAATCCTTTTTGGGGAGAGCTGAGACTCAGTGGACTCCTGGACTCAGTGTCACGCTCCTTCAAGTTCCTCCCAGTGGACCACAGGCACTTTGCTGCCCACACAATAAGGAATTATTTTGCTGATTACAATTTAAATGCATTTCAGTTTCATAAATATTAAGAGTGATGTGTAGAAATGGCATGGTGGCCCAGGCCTGTCAATCCAGCACTCAGGAAGCTGAGGCATATAGATTAAAAGTTGAAGAGCAGCCTACGCTTTTTGCTGAGTTTGAAATGGCCAGTCCCAGCAGCATAGTGAACTCTGTTCTAACTATATAAAGGCAAAACAAACTGTGTCATAGTCATAAGCTTTATGGCTACTATTATTTAAATACTGATGTGATAAAAATAATTCAAGTGAACACTTCTAGCTTGCAGCGTTTGCTTCCCTTTAAAAGGACACGTTTGGCTGGGCGTTGGTGGTGCACGCCTTTAATCCCAGCACTCAGGAGGCAGAGGCAGGTGGATCTCTGTGAGTTCGAGACCAGCCTGGTCTATAAGAGCTAGTTCCTGGACAGCCTCCAAAGCCACAGAGAAACCCTGTCTTGAAAAACCAAAAAACAAACAAACAAACAAACAAACAAACAAATAAATAAAAGGACACGTTTGAGTTTTCAATTTGCAAAAAAATTTTTTAAGAAACCAAAGTTTGGGCTGAAGAGGTGGCTCAGTGGGTAAAGCACTTGGCATGAGGACCTGAGTTTGAGTCGAACAACCCACATAGGAAGCCTGCCACAGGGACACACATCTACAGGTTATAACCCTGGTTACTCCCAGAAGAGACTGGAGGCAGAGGCAGGAGAACTTCCTGGAGCTCCAGGACCAGACAGCTTGTTATACAGCAGTGAAGAGCAAGAGGCTGCTTCAAACAGGCTACAGGCAACACACACACCAAAGGTTGCCCCCTAATTTCTGCATGGGACCCATGGCATGCAGATATCCATGCTCATATGTAAACACATATACATACTCACACACACAAAATGATGTGGGGGGGTTTGTTGGTCTTTTAAAGACAGGGTTTCTCTGTGTAGCCATGGCTGTCCTAGAACTTGCTTTGAAGACCAGGGTGGCCTCAAACTCAGAGATTAAAGGTGTGCACCACCACATCCCAGGGGAAATGATTTCTTTGAAAAGGAACTAAAGTTATATTTCAAATCTTGTTTACAAAATGTGTTGCACATGAAGTTGTACTATATCGGTATTTATGCAATTACTTTATTGAATTATTTTGAACAGAAATGAGATTATAATTGTTTACATTTTATTTATTGATATTTATTGTACACAGTGTTGATTTTAACATAAACTTTCAAGTATAGCTTGTACTTTACTCATATGGATAATCCGCCTTCCTTCTCTATTCCACTTCCTCTATTTGCCTATGTACATATGTGTGTATATGTAAATAGACATATATATGTAGTCATATATCATACATAAGTATCATGTATTTTAAAATTAAGATATATATGCATGTGTAATAGTTTTATATATCTATATAAGTCCAGGATGCATAAATGACAGAAAATATAATTTTTAAAAATATAACTTATTTCATATAATATGATAACCTCAATTACATACATGTTCCAGAAAATATTATAATTTCATCCTTCCTTTTAGGAAAATCCTGCTGGGTAGTAGACTATGATTTGTGTCTTCAGTTGTCTGTGAATAGCATTAAGGCTGATTGCATAAATTGGCTTTTTTGAATGGGGTCATGATATACACAAATACCAGTGTCTCTGTGGTATATTGGCTTGGAATCCTTACATATCCTGGTCTGGGATAACTGGGTCATATGACAGTGCTATTTTTAGTTTTTTTGAGGAATCTGCATACTAATTTACATATTGGCTGTACAGTTTAACTCCATGGTACCCATGGCGCTTTGAGTTGAAGTTGTAGATTCTAGCCCATAGCTATCCATCTTACTGTCCTGTTCAGGGTTCAGGTCATACAAATCAGATGACCTATGAAGCACTCAGACTCTGAGGCCCATGCTTCCGGACAGCCAATAGTTCTTAAAGGTAAGTGTCCTGGGGGAATAGTAGAGTTGACAATCTTGGAATATTGGTACATTTTTATGATCAGATTATAGACAACTTCAATTATGGTTCACCAAATGGAAGCCATGTGTGTGTGTGCTTTCTGCCCATCATTGGCCATGAAGGGATACAGGTGAGAGTGTCCTCACCAGAATTGAGCCAACACCTTCTAAAACAGCTATCTAAATAAGCCTCTTCAAAAACTACCCTGCCTTTGGTATTTTGTTATAGTAACAGAACACTAATAAAAATCAATGTAAAAATATCCAGGATCCCATTAGATCAAACTATCAATGTCTGGCTTCTAATAAATTATACATCTTCCTCAATTCATATTCTCAGCTCTAGTCCATTTGTTATGCATTACTATTTCCAGGTACACCGCAGACAGCAACGTATTTCATTAACATCTGCCACGTCCTGAGTTTTCAGATGCTTCCACTAGGTCATTAAAGTTACTTTCCTGCCACTTGGAGACCCCATGACAGTGTCTACCTCCTCCTTCCTCCTTCCTTCCTTCCTCCCTCCCTCTCCCCTGCCCGCTACAGTGCATGTAATCACCATTTTAAAAAGTAGCAAAATATCACATCACTCGCTAGGCTTCCAGATAGTTCTTTTTAAATTTTTTTGAGAAGAGCTAAATACCCTTTGTTTGATATTATCCATAAACCAAACTAAACCGCCTTTCAGTAATAAAAGGCAGCATCCTTTAACACAGGGGATTCTAGTTAAATTGGCATCATCAAGAACAGACAGTTGCTTCCTGATGTTTACGCATTGCCTGTAATGGGCCAAAGAACACAAGTTCAAACACAGATGTGTTCTACTTGGTTCTGAAAGAGTATGAGACTGTCCCAGTGCTGAAATATTCATATACCCAGTCATCTAAACCTAAGTATAAAACTATTCAACAGCCTTTGAGGTGGCTTGTTGTGGAATATTATTTAAAGATGTTTTATATTTGTTTATTTGGTGGAATATTTGTTTAATGACTCAAAGGTGCTCTACATTCTTTTATGTTGTATTTATTTAACTCTGTGAAACTGTGCTATTTTGCCTGCCTTAAACACCTGATTGGTCTAATAAAGAGCTGAATGGCCAATAGCTAGGCAGGAGAAAGGATAGGCAGGGCTGCCAGGCAGAGAAAATAGATAAAAGGAGAAGAGCTAAGAGGGTGAGCAAAAATGAAAGAGGACCACAGGAGAGGAGGATGCCAGGGATTAGCCACACAGCCACACAGCCAGACAGGGAATAAGAAAGAAAGAAAAGATATAAAGAAATAGAAAAAGGTAAAAGGCAAAAGGTAGATGGGATAATTTAAGTTAGGAAAGCTGACTAGAAACAAGCTAAGGCCAGTCATAAGAAAGACTAAGACTCCTTGTGATTATTTGGGAGCTAGGTGGTGGGTCCCCAAAGAGTAAATAGTAAAATAACAATCAAACCAACAACAATGGCACCATCATCTCTATGGAAAGTTGACCATTACTAATTAAGTCTGTCCCATCTTAGCAAGGGGAGCAGTGGCGGTACCTACAGAACCGCAACTGTTATCATACAAAGCTCTTCCCAATATGATAAACCAATTTTACTGAAACTGGAACTCTCCAACAATGACATAGGCATCTGTGATTTGAATTCTTATGTATGAATTAAATCATGGTTCAAACTAAAAAGCTATGAGATGCTATTTTGTAATAAGTAGGGCAAACACTATTACTCACTAGCAGCCTTTTCAAGGTAAGTCACCAGGTGCCCTTTCTCCAGTCTTAATGCCATCAAGCATCATTTTTGCTTTAGGATGTGATTGTTGGAATTCTCTGCCAGTGTGTCCTCTCCCCAGGTGATGCTCTTGTTCTGTTGGGTTCTCTTTCAGAGTCCAGAGGCCTGACCCTTCTTCCTCCCAAGGAGACCATGGAGATCTGATCCAGTGGCACCCTTGCCTCCCTGTTCCACAGTGAGGCACTGGGCACACTTCTGAACAAAAATCTTCTTGCCCTTCTCAATGTCACCCATTTTTTAATTAGATCTTTCCAGGCCCACACTTTGAATGTTATGTATTGGAGCCAGACATATGATGTCTCAGATAGTTCTTCTTAAAACGTAATGTGTGTGTGTGTGTGTGTGTGTGTGTGTTGTCTACAGGGGGATACACGTGTGCCATGGTGTGAGTGTGGAGATTCTGTGGAGCTTTGTGGAGTTTGTTCTTTTTCTTTACACAGGTTTAAGGGATTGAACTCAGGTCTTGAGACTTGCCTGGCAAGCACCCTCACCCGCTGAGCTGTCTCCCCAACTCTCTCAGCTGTTTCTCCATGATTCAGTTACTCAAAGCTGCTTCTTTGGGAAAGGATGGTAAGGTTTCTCTGACAACTTTTTGATACTATGCTGTCACTCAACACAAGCCCCCACCAGTTGAATAACAAAATTTACATTCTGGATGGTCTTTGAGAAAATGTCCTCAAAGACACAGGAAGCATAAGGTTCAAACACAGAAAGATTTTTTTAAAAAAGGAAAGAAAAAAGAAAGAAAGAAAGAAAGAAAGAAAGAAAAGAAATAGATGTGGCTCAGTCAGAGGTAAGTGGGATTAAAAACATACAGTTCAAAACATAGGCTCTAAAGTATTTACACCCTCACATGAAGTGTTCTCTTCTTGTGTAATTTAACCATGTATTGTAGGTGTGTTTTGGAAATCCTCTTGGTTTATCCTTGGGCGGGGGGGAAGCTATTCAGTTCTAAGATTTGTGTTCTCTTCCCTCAAATTGCTCTGCAGCATTTTCAACCCCTGAGCCTCAGAATGTGGCCTTATTGAAGTGTAGCCAAATTAAATCTAAATGTAGCCAATTTAGAATGAAGACCCTAAAGTGACTCACCCAGTATGACCAGTGGTGATATTATCCAAAGAGGAACATGTAGACAAAGATGCAGAAAGAGGACACTGTGAACAGACAGAGACAAAGGTACAACAATCAAAACACAAAGGCCCTCCTAACCTTCAAAAAGGGGCCTGCTATCACAGCCCCACCACCTGTTTCTAGCTTCTGGAACTGTATGGAAAAAAAAAAACTTAGTTTCTGCAGTTTCCTTTTTCCATTTCCATGTATGTCCGTGTGTGTGTGTGTGTGTGTGTGTGTGTGTGTGTGTGTGTGTTTTGTGTGTGTGTATGTAATTATCTTCCATTGTTTTTCTACCTTATTCTACCTTACTCACTTAAGCACCGTCTCCCAGTGGAACCCAGGGCTCACCAATGTGACTAGTCTTGCTAGCCAGATTGCTTAGGATTCCTTGTCTCCCTGATTCCAAGGCTGGAACTACAACAGGGGACCAACATCCGTTCAGCTTTGTTTGTTTAATTTATCACTATATTCGAGACAGAGTCTCACCATGTAGCACCAGCTTGCTTAGAACTTGCCAGGTAGACCTGGCTGGCCTCAGATTTACAGAGATCTGCCTGCCCCCTCATCCTCAATGCTGGAGTTAAAGCTGTGTGTCACGAGGCCCAGAGCATCCAACATCTAAGTGAGTCCTAGGAATCTGAATTCTGGTCCTTCCACTTGGGCTTTAACCACTGGTCCATGTCTCCAGCCCAAGTGTCTGTTGTTAAAACCATCAAGTCTGTTGCACCTGGTAAGGAAGCCAGAGCAGACCACTGCACTCACCTTTGCGCCTGTTCTCTTCATCTGTTAACTCAGAATCAAGTGTACTTCAGCCCACCTGTTCCTTCAATCCATTTTTATACCCCACTTCCTTTTTTCCCTCCCTCTCCTCCTCTGACAGTTTTATTCATAGTTTTTAAATAAAAACATAAATGGGAAACCAGAAAGTGATACTATCCATAGTCCCTTGGGGGCTGGAAGCGGCTGGGGAGGTCTGTGGGAGCAAGGGTCAGTATCACGGGGACCTGCCTGTGTCTCTGTGCTGTCCCATCCTGGACAAGCACCTGGACTCTGATGTCATGGTGCTCTCATTCCCAAAGTAGAATTACAAACAGCCCAACCCTTTCAGCATTTAGACTGAGGGGACACTTGTCAAGCTCTATCAAGTGTTTATCACTAACTTTGCTGTCATCTGTGTATGATGAAGATGGAGACATTCCTCAACACACCCCTCATCCAATGCTGGTGCCTGCTTCCCTTCTCAGGTGAACTCCGGCCTGTGACTTGTACTGACAAGGAGACCTGAGAAGTAAATAACACAAACAGTGTCTAGGAGGGAGGTCTGGGCCCCAGGGGTGGGTAGAGAGACTGTGTTCTGGTCATTGGACTAGCATTTATGCCTGCTGCAGAGTCCGTGGCAATTTGGGGTTTCCAAGGCTGAGAGTTTACTGGGCATGAAGTGAAGGAGGAGGCCTGGGAAAGGGCAGAAGCAGAGGCACCAGAAAGAAAACTCATTCTCACACTCAAGCAGGCTGAAGTTGGCTAAAGACAGGAGGATGGGTTGTACCTTTTCCTCCCAAGTCCTGCCCACGCTGCAGATTCACATGAAGAAGAGAAGGAAGGAAGACAGATGGAATGCTGGATGGACAGATGGAAGGACAGAGCTGCTCGAGGAGGCAGGGCCATGTAGAGAAAGGGCGAGGATTTCAGAGTCAAACAAAGCCCCGCTTACAGATGCCTCTACTGCTCACCAGCTGCAAGACTCTGCAAGTTCAGGAATGAGGAAGGGGGATCTCCATTTGGGGACCAGTGCTGCCCCCCCCATGCTCTTTCCTCTTGGCTGGCATTTCCTGGACTCCTGCACACAGGCCTTGTCAGGCCTTTTGTGTTTACATGATGGAATGACAGCAAGATGTAGTGATATATTATTTATGATTTATTAAAGCTTACTTGAGGATTCAGAAAGCAAAGTCACCACAAGCCATACAAGCAAGGCACACACTTTAATCCCAGAAGCCAGCCAGAAGCTAGGAGGTGGTGGTATACGCCTTTAATCCTAGGACTCAGGATTAAAGAGGTAGATGGATCTCTGTGAGTCCAAGGCCACCCAGATCTACACGAGATTGATCCAGTCCTGAAGAGAAACAGCTCACACAAAGATGATCTCAGCCCCTGGGATCACAGGCCCTTAATCCCAGTATTCATGAGAAGTATTTAAGATGGGAGCAAGGAATCAGTAAGAGGCATCTGTTCTCCAACCACACTGAAGATGAGGCATTGATTCTCTAGCCACACTGAAGATAGGAAGGCTCAGTATCAAGGATGATGGGAAGACATTCAGTCTCACTGAGGAAAGGCAGCAGGATCAGCCCATTCAGCCTGAGGTAGGTAAGAGCTTGTTTTTTTGACCTTCAGCTTGAAGTTTGAACCCCAATATCAGTCTCTGGGTCTTTTATTTTTTGTGCAACATCACGAGGTGTGTGCTTCTTGTCTGACTGGCCCAGAAAAGTCACCAGCAGTCAGGTTGAAACCCTGCCTTGGAAAGCTGCCTTCCCAACTACATTAACTGTTTTTCTCATTGCTGTGACTAAAGCAGGGGCTTACTTTACCTCATGGTTTAAAGGAGCAGTCCATCATGGCAGCTGGAGTCTGTGAAGTTTGTGGCAGCTGGCCACATTGCACCTATCTTCAGAAAACAGAGAAAGATGGTTGCTGGAACTCAACTTCATTCTCCTCTTTATTCCTCCTAAGATCCCAGCCCACTGCACAGAGCCACCCACATTTAGAGTGAGTCTTCCTGTTTCAGCTAACCTAATCGAGAACTCCCTCACAGATATGCCCAGAGGTGTGTCCCCTACATGATTCTAGATCCCATGAAACTGACAACCAAATTTAACCATCCAAAAACCTTGACAAATCAGTGTGTTATGTCAAACCATTGTCATTTTGTTTGGACAAGTTAATGCATTCTGCTTATGGGATGGTTGCATGGTCCAGCAGAGTTAGTGAGGAATTGGCTAAGGATATGATCATAAGAGAAAGAGGAGCAAAGCTAGACCACCACCTCTCACTCTCTGCAGAGGAGTGTGGAGAAACAAAGGGAAAGTTCAGAGGTGAAGGAAACTTTTACCATCTAAAAACCCCAGACTTCAGGACAAGAAGAGCAAGAAGAGGGGGCAGCCATGCAGCTGCTGGTAATGCTGTGAGTAAAGGCAAAGTAGTAGCCATGGCAACAGACTTCCCGAAAGGCTACCAGAATCTAGAAGTACAGTGACCTGGAAGGGATAAAAAACCAACAGGGAAATGTGTTAAGACACTGGATGCTGAGGCAAGGCTGAAGCATGGCCTGGCTTGCACTTGGGGCATGCACGTCACAGCTCCCCTTGACTTGCTCTCCCTCCCCAACAGCTCTGCGAAGCTTTGGTGGTGACACTAAGTGGCAGAATGAGCAGGGGATGATGAAATGATATGGGAGTGGGGATTTGCTTGTGTCCTTTCCTCACCCACGTTTCTGTCTTTCTCCTAAAACCTTCTCACAGTTATTCTCTGGCTGCTTCCCAGACAGAGTTCAGCCCAGCCTGACACACCCATAAATGTTACTAGGTGACATCCAGCCCCTAACACTAATCACCCACTTAAGAGTGTCCATGAGGATGGGTTTGTATAGAGCTTGTTGGGAGGATAACTGAAATTTGGGTGGATCTCAGACACAAATGCTTCCTAATCATTTGCTGTACCTTCACAGACTAATTCCTGAGATCCTTTTACTAAGTGGTTGAGATATCTAGTGCTCCAGCCCATTTTCCTTTATTACAATCTGTATTTATTCTTCTAGTATTTTCCCTTTAGTTTCAAACTCTGGGAAACCTCAACTGAGGTTTTTTTCAGTATCAGGATTTGTAGCAAGATGGATAATGACAGTGTGGTCCATGTGCACAATGGGATCCAATTCAGCACTATCTAAAGAAAAATGAAATTTGCAGGAAAATGGAGGTAATAGAACAAAAAATTAAACCAAGTAAGGTAACTCAGGCCAGAAAGACATATACCACATGTTCTCTCTCATATGTGGATCATATCTTCAAACTAATTTTTTGTGTTTACCTTGCAATGTCTGTAGGGATCAGAAGCTACAAAGGGATCCTGGGTTCAGGAGAGTCGGGCTTGAAG